CTCATACATCTTTGAGTGTCTTTGCCCAAAATGCAACAAGGAGAATCTTCCAGGCCCCAAAGAGAGGTCGGGGCCCCGACCCAATCGCTCCCGCACCCCAAGCTCCTCCATGTTAGAAATGTAGGCTGAGATCAAGAGGGGGGTGAATTGATCTTTAAAAGATTTTCACAATTTACAGATTATCTATTTCAAAGATTAAGAATTCTGACCAGTTCTTGAATCACACACAGCAATCAATCAAAATAAAGGTAGTGACAGAATTAAAAGAGAGAAAGGTTTAGAAAGATACAACCAAGATTTATACTGGTTCACCCAATCCTGGGGCTACGTCCGGTTTCCAGCTAAATTCCAGCTGGGTTCCACTAGATTGAACGTTTTATAGATTACAACTTTAATCTCACACTCAATCTACCACAAGAACCAAAATTCCAGTTCCTCGCACCTAAACCTTCACCAAGAACCAAATTCCAGTTCTTGACCAACCCCTAGACCAAATTCCAGCTACAGAAACCAAGTGCCCACAATTCCAGGCACCCACAATACAATAAAGAAAGTAAAGAAACAAAGAGAAGAAACTAGAATGCTCAAACCAGATTTATGCAACTCTGCAGTATGAGTTTCTTCTCCAAAAGAATGCAAATTTTGCCTCAAGAAAGAACTTCTATGAACTTCACAAAACTAGCGCGATTCTCTCTTGAAAGTAGCACTTATGATTTCTTTATTGATTGCTAAAAGATGTGTCTTAAAAGGTTCAAGCAATACTGTTTATATAGAAGATTTTCAAAACTGCTGGTTTATTTGATCTGTTAAAATAATATTTTAATCTGTTAAAAGTCTTGTATTAATCTGTTAAAACTTCTTTTAATCTGTTAAAAAGTTCTTAATTATTTTCCAGATTTGTTTTAATTGATACGACATCGTTTATATCAATTAAAACTCTTTGTAAAAAATCTTCCAAACTATTTTAATTGATTGTTTCATCTTTCAATCGATTAAAATACTGCAAAATATTCTTATAAACTTTTGTAAGTGATTTAACTGATAACAATTTGTTTTAATCGATTAAAACACTTTGAAAAAAGTTCACTTAGTTATTTTAATCGATTGAAACGCATTTTAACCGATTATATTTCTGCCAAAAGATTTCATAAAACATTCTAAGTTATTTTAACTGATAGCAAGCTTGTTTTAATCGATTAAAACATTCTGGAAAAACCTCTTAGTTGTTTTAATCGATTATTTTGCATTTGTATCGATTAAAATATCGACATAACAACTTTCAAAACACTTCAAGTTATTTCAATCGATTATTTCGAGTTTGTATCGATTAAAATTCTGCGCGAACACTTTTCAAAATATTCTAAGTCATTTTAATCGATTATATCAATTCTATATCGGTTAAAATATCGCGTGAAGGTTTTCAAAAATCCTTCTAATGAAAACAATCGATTATTTCGAAAACATATCGCTTAAAAACCTGTTACAAAAGTGTTAAGAACATTTTAGTTGATAAAGCTTATATACTATTAGTTAAAATAGTTAATAAAAAACCTTTTAACAAAATACTTTGTTTTTAATCATTTAAACATTTTTTTAGAGGCATTTGCAAAATCTTTTAAATGAAGAAACCTCATGTAGCAGAGAGATAAAAATGATTATACCTAAGCAGAGATGCAGACTCACTAATCCCACTACTCTTTTATCTAAGTGACCTTTGACTGCCACAAAGTAGCCTTTGACTTCATTTTTGACTTCATCAAATCAACAAGATCTTTGCCAAAGTAATTCAATAAGATCTTCATCACTTTCACTCCAAATCCTACCCAGCTAACGCTGTAGCACCAGGCCAGGCTGGAACACATCAAGGGCAACTCTTGGCACCCCATGCTGAGATTAGACTACAGTATCCTGGCTGAGTTCGGTTGGGAGGAGGATGTGCGAGGTTACATCTAGAGCATTAGGTGGGACTTCCTCTTCCAGGACCCCCCGACCCGCATCTATAAGCAGGTCGTAATGGAGTTCCTTGCCTCCGTTACATTGATCGACATGCCCACGATATTCCCGGGTGTCCCTCCGGCGAGGATGGTCTCGTACTACATGAACGGGACCTACCGGACGATGACGTTGGACGAGTTCAACATCGCCATAGGCTTCATACAACCCGCGGACACCCTGATGCAGAAATATGAGGGAGCCATCTGTGAGCGGCCGACTTCCCTCACAACTGGTGAGATATGGGAGGATCTCACCGGGTCACAGATTCTACCGGCCTGATGAAAGGGTTGGCGCTCAGCCCTCCTCTCCGCATCTACCACAAGTTGCTGGCAGGGACGATCCATGCGCGGAAGGAAAGTCAGGGGAAGATCACTCAGTCTGACCTCTTCGTGCTGCACTGCATGCTACATTGATGTCGATGTAACCCCGACTACTTCTTTCTGAGGGCCTTAAAGGACTTCGGGAGTCACCCTATTGGAGCCATCCTCATGGGTCCCCTTGTAGACCCCAAATCTTGCCCGGCCTGCAAATAAAGAGTAGAAGACCTCCTATTCGAAGATGGACGAAGCCTAACAAGCCACTAGGAGAGACTATTAGGCCCCATACTAGGATAGGAAGGATTTTTGGCACGAAAATAAAGTTTCTCGCCCTTTTGGGACGAGACCGCCGTCTCGAAATCGAGACCGCCGTCTCGCCACCTGAGAATGGCGAGACGGTGGTCTCGCTTTCCCAGACGACGTTCTCGCCACTTTGGCATGGCGACACGGCGGTCTCGTTTGGCGAGATGGCAGTCTTGACCCTGTCAGACGAGAACGGCGGTCTCGCCACTATCAGGCGCGAAAACCTATAAATAGGGGCTCCCTCCCCTCATTTCCACACACCACACATCATTCTCTCCTCCTTCTCTCTAGGATTTCTCTCTCTAGAATCCCTCCGACGCATTTCCGGAGCTTCTGAGTGTCTTTAGAGTGATTTCTGAGCGTTTCGAGAGATTTCCGGCACTGTAGAGTGAAGGGTTGCCACAAAGCACCCTCTTTTTTTAAAGAGAATTAATAGAAGAAGCGTGCTTCAGTGGTTTACATTCTCCCTCTCCACTTTTACCGCTTTATTTAAATTACGCAATAGATAGGGTCATGTAGTCATAATATTTTAATTCCGCAAATAAAAGGGCAAAAGCGTGTTTTTCCGGTTTATTTATTAACAAAATAGCTAGCCTGTCATAGGGAACCCGAAAGGGGCGTAGTAAAGGAACTAACACTTCCTTTACACGTAACTAACTCCCTTACCCAACTCTGGTTCTAATGACCAAAGTTGGTTTTTCGAAAACCAACGCCTTTTTAACTCCTTTTCCGATGTTTCCGGTAAAAACATCGGTGGCGACTCCACAGAACCCTTCAAAAATTAGTCCTTGGGTTAGCCCGGTTATCGGACAACCCAAAGACGACTTTTCGAAAACCTCGCCCCTAGGTTAGCCCGATTATCGGACAACCTAAAGGCGTTGTAACCACCCATAAAACACGCGAAAACAAGAGGGTCGAAACCATCGCATCGTTCCGACCGCCTCTCTTTTTGACGGCGGTGACACCCCTCATCACCCCACTAGCCGAGAGATGGGGGTGCAGCGTCGGGAAAGACATTCCCTCCATCCTCCGACCCGAGTACATCAGCGGGTCCATGCTCGTCATCATGGGGATGCTTATCAGGCAGGGGTCCCAGGTGGTCCTCCACCCTATGCTTGCCATGACCCTAGACATTCAAGATCTGAATGTGTCGCAGGAGATCCCAATTCCCCGGAGTTCAAGTAGCAGCAGTACGGGGATGACTTTCCTAGCATTCACTGTCACATGGATGACATTCACCAACAGCTAGACCAGATGTCCGTGAGCTAGGACGTCTTCGAGACACGGCTGGAGACCATCAGCCAGAGGCAGGAGGGAGTCATCCAGAGCTTGGACGCAATCACCCAGCGTCAGCTCGACATGATCCGGAGCCAGGAGGAGTTTCAGAGGCATATGCTCCGGTAGTTCCCTCCTCCTGAGCCGTCTTCAGCCTCGCAGTTGAGTCTGCCGCCGCCTTAGGGACATCATTGTATTAGTATAATCATTGTACAAATTTTATGATATATATAAATAAAATCTTTTGGTAAAGTCGTTTACCTTTATTCTCTTCCGAAAAAGCCAATGTAATAAAAAGAGACTAAAAAGTAAAAAGTCTTATGCGCTATCTTGAAAAAGGCAAAATCCAAATCGCGAGAAAAAATATAAACCGCGAAAAAAGGTGAGATTAATTACAAAATATTAGCTACCATTCTCCCAACAAAGAGGAAACGGAGAACAAGCAAAAGGCCCCTGCTCAGAGGCGTTACCCAACAAATCCCCGACAACCAGCAAAGTCGGATGACCACTACCAAAAGCAAAAAAAAAAAAGAATCTCCAGCAATCAACAAGCTGGATGGCTATCAGGAAAAGCCAAACATCAAAGAATCCCTGGCACACCAGACGACTACAAAAATAAAAAACATTTACCAAAGCATAAACACTCCCCATGGAATCGACACATGAGCTAGAGCAGTAAGCCGCCACCACCACTTTGGGACAAGGAAAGTCCCAAAGACAAAGACTTGCACACAGGCAAAACCACTGTGCATGAGCCAGAGCAGTAAGTCACAACCAGTCCTACAAAGTGGACTGCACCAGCCAGATGGGGGGTTCATACTCATCACCCGGGGCATGAGCTAGAGTAGTAAGCCGCCACCACCACCAGTCCTACAAAGTGGACTGCACCAACCAGATGGGGGTTCATACTCATCAATCGAGGGGTAGACTACCGCAAGAAGGAGCATCCTGAGGTTCTACCACTTGTCAGCCGAGGGGTTGGTTACCGTAAGAAGGAGCATCCCAAAGATACAAGCAATCGGATGGAGGTTCACACTCATCAACCGAGGGGTCGGCTACCGCAGGAAGGAGCATCCTGAGGTTCTACCATTTGTCAACCAAAGGGGTCGGCTACCGCAAGAAGGAGCATCCTGGAGGTTCACACCTTTTTGCCCAAAGGGGTCGGCTACCACATGAAGGAGCATCCTGGAGGCACACACACATTTTTCGTTTAGAGGATCGGCTATCGCAAGAAAGAGCATCCAAAGGACAACCGGGTAAGAGGGTTAACTCCTTCACCCTCCAGCCAATCTTTTTTGCATGTCGAGCCAACAGTCGGCTGGTCAGGTGAAGGGGGGGGGGTCAATTGTAGACCCCAAATCTTGCCCGACCTCAAAATAAAGAGCAGAAGACTTCCGTTCGAAGATGGGCAAGGCCTAAAAGGTGAAAGTGATGAAGATCTTATTGAATCATTTGATAACATGAAGATCTTATTGATTTGATGAAGTCAAATGAAGTCAAAGGCTATTTTGGTGAAGTCAAAGGTTACTTAGTTAAAAGGGTAGAGTGATTAGTGAGTTTGCATATATACATAGGTATAATCATTCATATCTCTCTACTACATGTGGTTTCCATTAGAATCGCGCAGCGGAATGTTTGCGTTTACGGACAAAAATCAAGAGGGGGGGTGAATTGGTTTCTTAAACAAAAATTAGGGTTTTAAAATTTTTCCCAAATTGTACCGATTAAAATGTTGTGTAAAGTAAATAGAGAAGAGATATAAGATTACATAGTCGATTTATACTGGTTCGGATCAAAAGACCCTAGGTCCAGTTGCTAATCACTCAAACAGAGGATTAACGTTGTCACTATTATCACAGTTATACAAACAGATTACAAATGAAAAGACAAGGTAAAGAATACACCTCTCTTGAGTCACACAAGAGATGAACACCTCCTTTGAATCCACAAATGATGAAGAACAACTTTTCCTAGAGACGACACAACACACAATCCACCAAGAAAACTCACTCAGTGACTCTTATCGATTCTAGCCCACACTAGGTTTCAAAAGCCCCTTTTTCCTCCCAACAAACAGTTCTCTGGCAGTCACAGATCTTAACTTTTGTTTGAAAAAGGTTGTTCTCTTTGCAGAGAGCCTTAGAGAACCTTAAGTAGAGATATTAGGGTTCACTACAAGAAAAATCGGTCAACTTCTTGTAACTTGTGTTTTAATTGTTGAATCTCCTCTCTCATAAGCTGGACAGATAATGAAGTAGAGTCATGGCAAAGATTTCTCCAAATAAACCAACCTTAAATCGTGAGCCAATGGAAGAGAACTTTGATTGTTTTGAAGATTCCTCGGGAGAAGGAGGAAATAAAGCTGATACAAAGGGGCATTTTGAAGCATAAAGAAGTGCCTGGTGCTCTGCAACAACATAATCTTTGTTCTTGTCGAGGAAAAATTCAGTTTGATAAGTGACCTACAAATGACATGGATTAAATTATATGCAGCTTTCCAGACATGTACTTCTGCTATAAATGTATCCTATTTATTTACTAATTATATCTGGAAGAAAAAGTAACAATTTCCCCAACTTACATCTCCAGCATAATGGCAAATTGTAAAGTCACTACGTGATAATTTAGGCTTGCTAAACCTTTTATGGTTTTTGAAGGTCTGGTAAAGCTTTTAGGCAAAAGTTTCATGTGTAGATCTAGGAAACATACTGCAAAGAACAAAAACATAGTTATCAGAGCATCAATATAATAGTCCATAGAATATGTTCGCTATCAGTATAAAATATACCAAGCTTCATCCAGAAGAGTGATAATGCCACCAGGTTTCTGAAAATGAATTCGAGATCATTAGAGTCAAAATAAATTTCTATTGTAAATAATAAGTTTACAAATGGCAAACTGCACAAAGACAACTATGATATTGCTGTGCGAACAGAAATAATGGCAAAATAATACATTGATAATGTACATGATATTTTTCTATTTAAGGGAAGGGATTTGTGTGCACTCAACCAACAATTATCATTTCAAGGTAATCGTTAGATATACCTTCTTTTAATTCATTAAAAAAATTCAACCTAGTAGCTAAACAAACAAAAGAATCACAACTTCGATGTTTTCATTCATTTAAACCCATAAACAAAATAGATTGTCCCTTTTCATTGTTGAACATTCAAGGACTTGATGTTAAACTTGATGGACATGAAGCTTGTTGATTTTGATGATGATTCAAGAACACAAGAACTTAGAGTTGAAGACTTGTTTTATAGTGTAATAACTTTGTTTTGATTAGATTGAATCTGTAATATTAGAGTTTGAGATAGCCGGTACATAGTCTGCACCTTAGAAGCTTCAAAAAGCTCAATTTTATCAAAGTGCCTCGGCTTTAATCGATTAAATGGTGAAATAATCGATTAAAACAGTGAGAAAAACCATTTTCTGTATCTGCTCACTGGTTTAATCGATTAACACACCTGTTAATCGATTAACAGGCCTGTTAATCGATTAACAAGTCTTTTAATCGATTAAAACAGAGAGTTTTGGGGTTCTGTTGATTTTGGCTCTGTAATAATCGATTAACACTTCATTTAATCGATTATTTCAGTCAGATTTTGATTTTTAACTTCAAATCAACCCTATTTTCGAAAACCCTAATTCCAAGACTCCTAGTTTCGAAAATCCCAATTCCTAAACCCTAATTTCTCTACTTAAGCTTCTCTATGGCACTCAGAAAATAAGAACAACCTTTTTCATACAAAAGTTAAGTGCTGTGAGTGCCAGAGAACTGTTTGTTGCAAGAAAAAGGGGCTTTTGGAACCTGGTGTGGGCTAGAAGCGATAAGAATCACTAAGTGGAGTTCTTAGTGGATTGTGTGTTATGTCGTCTTTAGGGAAAGTTGTTCTTCATCTCTTGTGGATTTCAAGAGAGGTGTTTTCTTTACTTTATCTTTTCCATTGTAATCTGTTTGTAACAACTTTGATTATAGTGACAGCGTTAATCCTCTGTTTGAGTGATTAGCAACTGGACGTAGGGTCTTTTGATCTGAACCAGTATAAATCTCCTGTGTAAGACTCTATCTTTATCTCTATTTACATTTACACAGTTTTTAATCGGTAAAATTTGGGGAAAATTTTGAAAACCTAATTTTTGTTAAGAAACCAATTCACCCCCCCTCTTGGTTTTTGTCCGACCACGCGAACATTCCGCTGCGCGATTCTAACATTATGTCTCTCATTTGCTTTCAGAGTAAATTTTCAAGCTACTTCTTTTCAAGTCAACTGATTTTCAAACATTTCCCTCATTTAGTGCTTCTTTCTTTTGTAACCTTGATTTGTATGTCCACTCACCGATGCAATATTTTAATCTCCACAACAATTAGATTATGCTCCACAAACATATTAGTTAGGTGTGCAACAGTTTGGACACCAGCCTTTAAGACTTGTAGCATTATGTATAATAATATTGTTTTAACAAGGGAAGAATGTTATTGCATCACTATACAAGTTGCAAACTAATTAGGTTAGCTTTACAACTTGTATCAATCATATTAGGTTAGCTATACAAGAATGCTATTGCATTATGTATAATAATAATAATAATAATAATAATAATAATAATAATAATAATAATAATAATAATAATAATAATTAGGTTTTTTCTAAAATTGAGTGTACCTGTTTAAGGACACTTCAATCAATAACACCGCCTAAATCATTTCATCCACTCAAATTGACTCCTGAGGTTTATGTCTCTCATTTTTATGCCACTTTGAATGATAGATCTGAGGAAACTAAATTGAGCAACCTATGTTATGTTATGATACTTTATTTTCACTTAAGCTATTACTAGAGTATACTTTACTAAACTGATATTTGATGTTATTCAATTTAACTATTGTTTAGAATGAAGCAAACAATTCCGTAACAGAAACATCAAAGACACTTTCCAGGCAAAAACTCAAGATGCTTCAACCAATGAAAATGCACTACTGCATCATCTTTCCATAAGCCAATTTTAGCAATTACATCTCTGCTCACAACCACATTTAATATATAATTTTTAACAGAAATGAATATATCCTATACAAACCTGATTAAAATGTTGCTGAAGCTTTTCATTGGTCAAATTAATACAAAATTGCTCAAAACTGCAAATACAAATAACAACCAGGCATAACATTCAAAGAGAATCTTCAAGTGCTTTTGCATCACACCTAAATAAAAGTTATGAGCCAAGGTGGAAAAGATAAAAAGCAAACCTAGACACAATGCAATCGCAAAATGCTTTCTCACATGAAAAGGTCAGCAGCAGTTTGTAGATGGAACCAAGATTTTTCATCTCTGGGGTTAGGTCGAGGTTAGGGTTCGAGGTCACTGGGGTTGAGCTAGGGTTCGAGGTCACTGGGGGTTGAGGTATGGTTCGAGGTCGTAGGAGTTGGATTTGGGTTTGCTTTGAGATTGAGGTTCGATGCCGCCGGAGTTAGGTTTGGGCCTCCAGTTCATCGACCTTTAGGCTGGGGTTGAGGTTCGAATTCGCTTGGAGAGATGAAGAAATTGACACAAGCAAAGAGGCTAGGGGGTTAAGCTTGAACGACTGTTGCGCGAAGAAGATGAAGAAATTTGGGAAGCTACGAAGATGTCAAGAGCGCGAAGAAGAAAATAAAAATTTTCGAGGAAGAGGCAGCGCGAAGAGATAAAATTCGGAAGGTAACACTTAAATAATTACATAAATTAAAATTAAATTAATTAAAACAATAAAATTAAATAATAAAGTGACTCGAAATAGTAACCGATTTTATGTGACCGAAAATTCGGTTACTATTTCAGTTTCTAAACTAAAAATAATAATTTGGTTACTAATTCAGTCACTAATAGTAACTGAAATTTTCAGTCACTGATTTCGGTTACTATATAACATTTTTCTAGTAGTGGTTTCTGAATTGGGCATTTTCGAAAACAGATGAATTGGGAATAGGGTTTTCGAAACTTGGTCCAATTTTGAATTTCAAAACACATATCTGACTGAAATAATCGATTATCTTGAGTGTTAATCGATTATTCTAGAGCCATTTTCGTAGTGGACCAAAAACAGCACCAGTTAATCGATTAACAGGGCATTTAATCGATTATTCTAGAGAGCAAATACTGAAAATGGTTTTCTTTCTGTAATAATCGATTATCCTGCCATTTAATCGATTATTGCAGTATGTTTTTGATAAAAATGAGTTTTTAGAGCCTTTAAAGAGTGGACTATGTGCTGGCTATCTTGGACTCTAATATTACAGACTCAAAATCATAAAAATAGAGTTATTACATAACATTATAAGTCTTCAAATCTTTAAGTCCTTTATTCTTGAATCATCATCAAAATCTACAAGCTTCATATCCATGTATGTTCAACAATCTCCCCCTTTTTGATGATGATCAAAATTTCCTTTAAAGCCCTTTGTAATAAACTATTTTATCTGTCACAACTTAAAAAAAAAATTAAACATACCAGACAATATTTAAATTTAATAAACATAAGAAACATAAGAGGCTTTAAATAATTTCTCCCCCTATTTTGATTCTGATCAAAAAAATTGAAAAAAAATGAAAGCTCCCCCTCAATAAGTGCATAAGATATAGAAAATAGCTCCTCCTCAAACAAAGCAAAAATACCAATTTTATTCCATAAATTAAAGTAATTACAAACAAGAAGATATGAGGAAGAGATTAAAACTCTTCACTTTCATCGTTGTTGAATTGAGCATCAAATCTATCTCTAAGTTACAAACCTTATCATCTACATCTGAGATACGATGAATGATTTCCTGATGCCGTTCTTGAGAGATAGTGAAGAATTCTTGCATTCTTTGATTCATATCAAAGAGCATATCTTCCATTGATTGACGGGATGTAGGAGGGGCAGATGATGTCCCAGTAGTATGAATATTTTCAGTAGGAAACTCAGCAGCAGGATCTCTTCATCAGAATCGTGAGCATCTTCAGCCATGTTGGGAGCGTCATCTTTGTGAACGTAGATTCCATTGACACGCACCATTTCTAACTGAGTGAGCGTGCTGTCAAGCATTCGATTTGAATTTATCGTCCTGCCCGTTTGTTCTCCTTCAACATTTACTCCTTTGTATTCTAAAATACGAGAAATAAGAAGAGCATATGGAATTTTGAAAGTTGGATGATGCTTAGCCTTAAGCATTGTCATAGTGACAAGACTACCCCAGTCAATTGGCTCATTATTCATGATGGCATGAATAATGCGAAGATCAATAGTGAGCATTAGGCATGGTTGGTTGCCCGGAGACATAAAATCTAGACAATGAGATGCAGCAACAAGCATTCCTCCTTCTTTAATGGGTCGGCCAATAGAAGTCGCCCAATTTCCATGGAGGGGTTGCGGAGAAATGAGCGATAGGCCATAATTCTATCAAAATCTTCTAACTCCGCAAAAATATTGATAGCATCTTCTCTTACATTAAAGTGGGCAACATTTTCCCATATATCATCATCAAGGATGATAGTCACACCCTTGACTCGAGAAGTGGCTACATGATCTCTAAATTTAAAACAAGAATAGAATACCCTAACTAAATCAGGGTAGTAAGTACCTTGCATTTGGATGAATGGGAGGACACCTTGTATTTCAAGAAGATTTGGAAAATTAAAGCCCCTATTGATGAATTGATCACCAATAATATATTTTGGAGTGATGATACCCCTTTCTTTCTAGAAGGTGAGAAATTCTTGTCTACATTCATTGTCTGAGATCCATCCTTCAACAGAATTTGGACGGGGATGAGAAGCAGGAGCATATCTTCTTCTTGTGGGGATCTTAGCACGAGATGAGGAAGCCATTAAGATTAGAAGGAAAGAAAACAAGAGAGTTTTGAAGGCAAGTGAGGTTGTGAGAAAGCAAGAGAGCTTGAATGATGCAAGAATGCTTTGATTCAAGGATTTGAGGTGTGGAGATGTGAAATGAAGCCTTCCTATATATAGAGAACAAGTATAATGGTCATAAACGATCATATTTGGGTGAAAGGGTGCCAAAATATATGTTTCAAACGGCTAGTTTATCAAAAACGTTCCAGGGTAATCGATTAAAGCTTTTGTTAATCGATTAAATCATCAACTGAACCAATTAATCGATTAATTGATGCTGTTAATCGATTAAATGAGCAGATAATTGATTATTTCTTCAAATAATCGATTATTCCAGAGAGAAACTTCAGATTTTGGTTATTTTAGTTCAGATAATCGATTATTTCCCAAAATAATCGATTATTCTAGAGAGATCATCAAATTTTTAAGGTTTAGACACAAGATAATCGATTAAAACCCTATATAATCGATTATTACATTACAATCATGCAAAAATTGATTAGTTAAGCAGATTTTTAAGCTATTTCTAATATTCCTAAGTCTCTTCTTAGATCAAAGAATCTATCTTTGGGAAGAGGTTTAGTAAAAATATCTGCTAATTGATGCTATGTATCAACATATTCAATTTTACAATTTCCTTCACTAATATGATCTCTTAAGAAATGATGTCTAATCTCTATATGCTTAGTTTTAGAGTGCATTACTGGATTCTTAGTAAGATTGATTGCACTTGTATTATCACACATCAAAGGAATATTACTTACAAAGATACTATAGTCTTCTAATTCTTGTTTCATCCATAAAATTTGAGCACAACAATTACCAACTGCAATATATTCAACTTCAGTAATGGATAAAGAAACACATGCTTGTTTCTTAGAATGCCAAGACACTAAGGATGATCCTAACAAATGACATGTTCCACTAGTACTCTTTCTATCTATTTTACATCCACCATAATCAGCATCAGAATATCCTATTAAACAGGAGAAGCTTCAGATGGATATCATAAAACAAATCCTGTAGTTCCTTTTAAATATTTTAAAATTCTTTTTACTGTAGTTAAATGAGATTCTTTTGGCCATGCTTGAAATCTAGCACACACACAAACATAATGCATAATATCAAGTCTACTTGCAGTTAAGTATAACAGTGAACCTATCATACCTCTATACATAGATTGATTTATTTCCAAACCTGATTCATCCTTGTCTAAATAGCATGAAGTTCCCATGGGTGTGTTAGCTTCGTTTGAAGTGTCCATTCCAAATTTCTTGAGAATCTCTTTGCAGTACTTGGTTTGAGACACAAAAATGCCATCTTTAAGTTGTTTAATTTGAAGTCCAAGGAAGAACGCTAATTCTCCCATCATTGACATTTCAAATTCACCCTCATTATCTTAGCAAATTCTACACACAAGGAATTATCAGTTGATCAAAAAATGATATCATCAACATATACTTGAACTAATAAGATATGTTCTTTTACTTTCTTAATAAATGAATTGGAATCAATTTTTCCTCTAGAAAAATCATTAGCAGTTAGAAAACTACTTAATCTTTCATACCAAGACCTAGGAGCTTGTTTCAAACCATATAAGGCTTTCTTCAATTTAAAAATATGATTGGGATATTTAAAATCTTCAAATCCAGGGGGTTGTTCCATATATACTTCTTCTTTGATAAGCCCATTTAAGAATGCACTTTAAACATCCATTTGATATAATTTAAATTTCATCAATGAGGCATAAGCAAGAAGTAGGCGTATAACCTCTAACCTGACAACAAGAGCATAAGTTTCATCATAATC